ACATTTGGGTTGGACCCTGTACCATTGAAATCAGAACCTTTAGGGGTGTGCCCCAGCCATCAGCATTTTAAAAATCTTCCCCAGTGACAGCCAACTGAGACTAGACCATCTGGCCACCTGTTGGCAGATCACAGCTGCTCAGCTCAAGGTGCCTTGTTCAACCTTAGTTGCGAGTGGGCGTAGCCCACCATCCCATGCAGGAGTCGAACCGGAAACCTTGCTGCGAAGAGCGCATGCTCTAACCATTGAGCCATCCAGCCGCTCGTAGGCAGTTCAGGGCAGCTCAGCTCAAGGCGCTGTGTTCAATCTTAGTTGTGGGTGGGTGTAGCCCACCATCCCATGTGGGAGTGAACCGGCAACCTTGTTAGGAGAATGTGCTCTCACCAGCTAAGCCATCCTGCCACCTGTTGGCAGCTTAGCTCGGCAGCAGCTCACTGGCCCATGTGGAAATCGAACCGGCGACCCTGTTGCTGAGTTCACGCTCTTAACCAACTGAGTCTCTCAGCTGGCTGGAGATCACGTGCTCTTAACAAGGTTGCTGGTTCGACTCCCACATAGGATGGTGGGCTGCACCTCCCCACATCCACCCTCACCCGCAACTAAGATTGAATACGGCACGTTGAGCTGAGCAGCCACAAGCAGCCAATGGGCAGCTAGAGCACGTTCTCTTAACAAGGTTATTGGTTTGACTCCCACATGGGATGGTGGGCTGCCCTCCCAACCCCCCACAAATAGACTGAAAGCAGTGACTGGACTTGGAGCTGAGCTTACGCCCACCACAATTAAGATTGAAGGACAACAACTTGACTTGGAGCTGATGAGTCCTGGAAAAACACAGTGTTCCCCTTCCCCAATTCCCCAATACTGTTCCTTTCCTCAATTCCCCAATAAAATAAAAAAGTTTTATTGGACAGTGCTGATCTAGAGACTTCACAAGCCAGTTCCTGGGCTGGGATGACTTGAAGGTTAGCTGGATGTGGCTTGGCTTCTCCCAGCATGGTAGCTGGGAGATTGGATGGATGGATGGATGGATGGATGGGAGACTTGAGGTAGCAAGGTTTCCTTCCTGTGGTCTACCCTAGGAAGTTAGCACCCAGTGTCACTTCTGTCCCATTCTGTGGATTACAAATGTGTCACTGAAGCCAGCCCAGATTCATGGGGAAGGAAACAGAATACATGGGCTTGGAAACCCTACTGTGGACACCTTGGGAAACTATTAATGTCAAGGGTGGAGACAGCAAAAATCAGTCAGGTCTTGTAGTGGTTGAATGGACTTGGGCCTTTATGTTGCAACAAATGGGAAGTAATGGAAGGGTTTTTTGTAGAGAAGGGTCACGATCAGACTTAAGTTTTAAAATGAAACTTAAAGGGCCAAGATAGGGAGTGGGCACTTATCTCGGTGTGACTAGGCTGGAATCAGACCGTCCCAGAACTGGTGATGCAGGAGTGCCATAACCCGTGTCCTGCCCTCTCCCTCTCAGCTTGCCCAACTGGACCCTGCAGTAGCCCCTCAATCTGGCCTCTCTGAGACAACTGACATCCAGGCAGTTTCATGTCCCCTGCCTCTCCTGGTGAGACAAGCACTTTGCCAGTGCAGAAGGGGTAAAAAGCATTGCAGAACCAAACCAGACTTTAGGAAAACCTTTTGTACAAGTCCTGTAGGATTCACAGCAGGAGTTCCCAATATTTCCCTCTGGACCACCCAGACTCAGAATTTCCTGTCTTCTGGGGTGTTCACTGAGCAGACCCAGGCCAGGTTCATGGAAGGAGTGGGACTTCATGTATCATCGCCTGTTTGCTCACTGGCTCCCTCTCTAGTTCCAAGGATCCTTTTCCTGTAGCTTCTTCCTCTTCCTCCTGCCACTTTCTGTCCCCAAATACATGCCTGGACCTGCTGCCTACCTCCCAACATGACTGAATTGTGAGCTCATGATACAATCAACTCCAAGAGGCAGAGAGGCTGTTGGGGCTGCAGCTGAAGCCAACTGGAATCTCAAAGGCTGACTCTAGCTTTGCTTCCACAAATTGGCTGCTTTGCAGAAACCTCCTTTATCCTTGCAGGATAGGGCAACAGGGAGTTGGGACTCCTACCAACTATGCCAAAAATTACCGTTATCAGGCCTGAATCAGGAGTGATTAGTACTAGCCGAATGCCCCAGCAGTTTGTACTTGCTGTTTCGGAATCCTGCCTTGTCGTAAGCAGGGCATGAATAGCCCCTTCCCATGGTTTTGCAGTGTGGAGACATGTCTAAGAACAGACACATGATCTCCATTCCATCTTCAAAACTAGACCAGAATGACAGGAAAGGATCTGCTACGTGGCAGTTAAAAAATAAGGCCAGTAATAAACAGTTCCTGAAACCTAAGCAGTTGGCTAGCCTTTCACTGCATAATCTTTGCAGCGAAGTTCAGTGGACATCCTACACTGACCTCCACCCAAGTCCTTCATTAACTGAGGGTGGTCTAGATGAATTAATGCTCATGGGCAAGAGCTGAAAGGCAAACATCAGAAATAAAAACAGCTGTGGGCTGGGACTGTGGGTTCCCCTTTTCCTAGTGGTTTTAAATACTAGAGGTCCCACAGTTTAACAAGTTTTCAGGTTTTGTAAAACATGCAAATAAGATTTCCAATAGAAGGGGAGCAGGTTTGCTCGAGGGCCAGGATACCCTCTGCCTCCTTCACATTGTCTCCTCCTGCCCTTTCTGGTGGGATGGGCAGATACGATGCAAAACAGGTGTTTTAGCCTCTGGACCACTCCAAAGCAAAGATACTCAAGAGCTAGGAGCCTCCAGAAACCAAAAAACACCAACTCTGGCATCCTAAATCATTTTCTGTAAAATATGCTACATATATGAATAGGAAAAAAATTAAAAACATCTAATAACTGACTTTTATAGGATATGGTTAAAATACAGAACTTTTACTTTCTAGTGCATACATGTTTGTATTGTTTGAATTCCTTACATGTATTGCTTTTATAGTCAGAAATAAAGATTAAAAAAAAAAGGCTTTGAATGTTAATCAAACCTCTAATCTTTGCTCTGCCCACTAGGCAAGAGGGTCCTCCCTGCTTCCCTTTCAGGCATGTCCCATGGACCAACTCTGAACCTCCATTACTTGCAGCTGTTTACCACCAATCCCGGAAGTTCCCACAACAGGAGTCAAAAGGTTGTCTTGCATCACCAGGAATCTGAGGCCTACATGAATCCTGGACTGTTGTCTGGGAAGACACCATCCAGAACTTGAAATCTTAGATCCCATGACATTTCTCTTCCTGTTATGAGGCTATCATTTGAGCAAATCTGCAGCACAGCCAGGCTTACCTTGTTGCTCCCAGAGGCCCACAGAGTGCGTGTCTGCCGTGGATGCCTCTGCCGCCTATGGGCAGAAGGTTGGTTCATGGTGCAAGGCACTTAGGTCTCCTGGAAATAGCTTCCAGCAACTCAGAGTTGGGTCTAGGCATTATCTCAAATGAACCTCACCACTCCAAAAGGTAGGCAAGGCAAATGTTGAGGAAGACTCAAAAAGATGGTCTGTGGAAACAAGTGAACACATGGGCAGGTAGCTGGCCTTCTGCTTGGGCTGTCACCACTGACAGCAATGAAGACATGAGGTGACCTTGACTTTCTACCAAAGTTTTATATAGTCCGGGCCAGGGAGGTCTTCCCTTGCTCATCTGTGTCCCCTTATCTTCCTTAAGGAAAAACGTGTTACCTATGAACTGGTGGTATGTGCTACAATGCAAATTTTCTAGGCTCCCTAGTCAAGTCTCTCAAAACAATCCTCAACTTAAATAGCACTATCTTGCTAAAGCTTTAAAACAAAGACACCCCAACAAAAGCCTCCTCACATCATTCTGAAGTAGCTGAAGTGGCCCTACTGGCTTTAAGAACATTTCAAAATGTTCTACTTAAGCCCACCTGCAACCTCAGAAGCTTCCTCAGCAGCATTCCCTTTGATCTGCACGCCATCCACAGGCTGTGGCACATCGGACAGGACAGCATCTAGTCCCACAAGCCTTGCCTTCATTTCAGGATGTTGGTTACACCTCTACTTCTGCTGGTTTCTCAGGAACACACACAACAGAAAGGCAGTGGTTGCACTGTTGACTGACATGGGTAGGAAAGGACTAGAAACACCCCTCCCCTCACCCACTCAAAACGACATGGGGTTTCATGAATGACCTTTCAGACCTAAAGATTATCCTTGATGCCAAGAGTGCAGAAGGTAAACACATCTAGAATCGTGCCAAAGATTAAGTCTGTATTTGAGATCACTGGTATAAAATTAACTTGAAAGGTACCTGAAGTATTGCTGCAGCTTATAGAAGACTGGCTCAGAGGGGTCCCGTTTAGGCCACTCAGCAAGCAAGGCCAGCACTCAGAACACAGCATCCCTCTTTGACACCTGGCAACAGATCTATCCAAAGTGCAGCAAGGTACCAGTCAAGCCTTGAAGACTGGCAGGCCAGCAGTCAGCCCATTTCAGTCAATTTTAGCCACTTAAAAGAAAAAATGCTCCCTCGGATCATTCAAAAATCAATGTTCTACGACCCTCATACCAGTTACAAATGATTGTAATTAACTATTAGAATGATACTGAGACTGCAAAAAAAAAAAAGTTTACCCACCACTTTAAGCCTCTATTCTTGTTTTAATCAGTTGTAAGGTAAAATGGAAAACTTCTCAGGGGAGAAAATCTTGAAGGACCACCTTAAGTGCTCAGTCAATCCCAATGATGAGGCAGACACATCCTGAGGACATAGCCTCATTTATGTTAGTTAAAGCCTGTCAAAAATGTAAACTGGAATCAAAAGTAGACAAATCCAGATCTGGGGACCTTCTAAAAAACTGGCCTGCGGTCTTCAAAAACATTAAGACTAGAACAGAGGCCAGAAAGACTGGGTAGACACTAAAGCACCTCACTACTGCCAAGGCTTAGCTGCAAATGCAGTCTTGGGTGTACTTGGCCTTGCTTTCCACAAAAACACTCCATATGGTATCGTGGTTTATCATTTTATTACACACTTTATAAAAAGTTCAAACACTAACATCCTTCCCCATTAGGGAGCATGTTCACATCTTTATTAATGTAGATCTGGCCATTTTCTAAAGGTGTCCTATTATTGGGTTTTATACCCTTAAGATTCTTTTCTCAAATATATCCCTACAAAATGGAGCTGCAAAGGGTATATAAAGATGAGATTTTTCTTGCTCGTTATGTATAAACACTTAAGATGACTATAGAACTATGACAGTAAAGGGAAGTTACCTAATTAAGAATGGAACGTTGTCACCTATAACAAGTAGCTGAATTTAGTGTAACTGGTACCTACTCTAAAATAACTGGATATGGGCACATGAAACAATGAGACTACATGTGCCAGGCAATTGCTTATACCTGTACTTGTTTCCAGAAGGCACATGTTTCTTGCACCCATTTTTAAGAGAACCCAGTATTTAGATTCTACCCACTTTGAGCCATTAAATGCATATGGAAAAGATTAGTTATGTCAAAGTAGCATGTAGTAGAAATATTTTTAAACCAACATGGTTAAGTGTTAAGATTTTTAGAAATCAAAATATTTATTAACATAATTTTAAACTAAAGTCAAAGGTAATAAATCTTCTGTGGTAATGATTTAAGTGCAAGTGACGCTGGCTTTCTTTCACATTCGTGTCCTTCATTCCGAGAAAAGGCAGATCAGTTGTTCTTGAACAAGTCAATGCAGCTCTGCAAGAGGGAGACATTGTTCTGGAAGAAAACAAAAGTCAATGTAGACCAATGAATCGCACTAGGTCTAAGACTTCCTATAAGAATTAAACTCAAACCTACAGACCTAGCTTTTCTTAAGAGACATGAAGCCAGCAAACTGGGTTGACACTTTTCTTCATTAAATCACTTCTGAACCATAACCTCCACCCCTCACCACTCTTCCTCTCAGAGGGTCTGGGAACACTGCACGGAACACGCTCACTTCAGCACCTCCACCCTCAGGTTTGTTCCCTATACAGTCATGCCAATTCTGCTTACTGTGAGTTAACCTAAATACTACATAAACAAGTTCTTCTTTGAAGTTGAAGGCCTTGGAAAGACCAGATATAAAGTTGTTATAAATTAGTTATGGGTGATATTTTTAAATCAGGTTACAAATGATAAATATTTAAATAGGCCTTCACACAAATTGCTTTAAAAATTCTCACTTTAAAGGAACTTTAAAAACTTAGAATATCCAGAACATTATGGGTATAATTTATGTATAAATGATACTTTAATACTCCAATTTAAAGGGACTTGGACTTAATCAAGAGGCAATTGAATAAACACATCTATGTTGTCTAATAAAGGAATTCAAAGTACACACGAATGTTCAGTTTTCCTGCTTTAACAAATGCTGATGACCAGTGAGTTCCCTCCTCCAGTGGCTCCCTACCGACCCAGGGGCTGTACCAGGTAGCCACTCTAGGGGGGGCTCAATCTCAGCTACACCCAGGATCCACCCAAAGAGCCATCCCCACAAGTTCCGAATGAATGGGTCTGGGCAACAAAAAGTCTTAAAAGCTCCCTGCTAGATTCTAATGTGTACCCAGCATTGAGAACCACTGCGTTCCAACTTTTCTGTGCAAAATTAAGCTAGACATCAAATATACAAGTTCTTTTCCAAACCAAAAAGGAACATCAGAAGACACTTAGCAAAACTAGAAAACATGAAAGCTTCAGATAATTAAGAGCTTATAATGGTATGCTACAATAGATGCGTCCAAATTATTAGAACAGGTTCTTCAAAGTGCGGCCCACAAGGATTTGGAGGAGGAGGCAGGGTAGCTGCCACCAAAAATACTCTTCTCAAAAGCAGTGTTTCATATCAAGACGTTCCAGATTTTTGGTCTGCAGTGGAATAAAGTACTCTAACAAGGCGCTCCCACCTCCACTACAGGGGATTTAAACCAGAGCAAACCCCTCTGCCCGATGAGGAAATAAAAAATAGTAAAGTGGGAAATACTTAGGAGTAAAAAACTTGTTAGCTTAATTTGAAAATACTTACCCTAGCATGTTTTATTTCCAGTTCAGACATTTCAATCAGATTCTTTCTGAATGCTGCCACTCGCTTTCGTTTGAAATTGCTTAGTTCTACGAAAGAGAAAGTTTACCAAGAAAAGTTGAATAATTTTCAACTTTTACTTCCAAATACCATCCCTTGATGCACCACATCTCGCATTTCATGCAATTGGTACACATACCATTTTACAGACACTACAGTGATGTGCTTGCCACTCACTGCCTTTAAATGAGCAATACCACCCAATCACCGAGCACCAAAATTCAGAGAATGGCTACTGACGGAGAATCTGAGTTGAGTGGCTTTGCCTTTAACCTCTAGGTTCCAGTGTTTGTGGAGAAAGGGCTGGGGAAGTAGTGAGCCACATGTACTTTAATCAGAGGCTTTTTAATGGATTATTTTTAATCTGTGAAAACCCTCCCTAGCTCAAGCTGGTGCTCTACGGTACTCAAACTTACCCTCCTGTATCATGTCTATACAGCATTGTTCAACAGATACATAATGCAAGCAGCCACATTAAAAAGTTAAAAACTCACACACAAAAATTTTGTAATGATGTGTTACTAATAATACCTTAAATATAAGAGGCTAAATGGGTCTTCCTCGGCTGTCAAGACAAGCTCACCTCCTTCATCTGAGACCTGCGCAGAGGACCAGGACTTAACACTAACATCTCCCAAGATGCCTGTCTCCGCTGTATTGTTTTACTATACTCATTTAATTGACTAATCAGTTCAGCCACAAATTTTACGAAGAACTGGGACCAAAGGCAAACAGGTTAAGATCTGTTAATCTCTGTATTCTTCAGAATACTTTACTTTTGAATTATCAAAAACTCAGGCTCACAATTTGAATAAAGAAAACATCTAGCAACATCAAGACAAATCTTAGGCAATAAGGATGGGCCTAAATTGGCACCATTTTAAAACTCTGTGTTTTTTCTTTTTGTTCTAAAAAGATTTTACTGGGGAATTGGGGGAGAAGAACAGACAAGTTGCTGTGCTTTCTTCAGTCTAGTTGTGGAGGACGTTGCTTCACTGGCCCATGTTGGTATCATTGCGCTCTTCCCGGGTGAAGTAGTCGCTTGCTGGCCATTGGACGGCCGCTCATGGCGGCTCTCGAAAGCTCACGCCCGCTGCTGGCCAGCCCCACTGTAGCCTACACCATTGCCAGCGCCTCACGGCAGTCCAGCTCCAACTCCAACTGTTGTTCACCATTTTAGCTGTAGAGAGCACAGTGTCACTGGCCCATGTGGGATCCGAACCGGGTACCTGCTGCTCAGAGCTGGCATCCCAAGCCAACTCCTAACCAACGTGCCACTCAGCCAACCCTGTGGTTTTTCTTTCATCCCTTCTAAAACTGTCAGAGCCACTAAACTCTGATTATACAATAACCTAAGATTTCAACTCAATATTTTTGAAGTTAATTTAAATTAGCTGTTAAAAAAAGGGCAAGATTTTATTTTAAGAATAGGGCAACAAGGAGGTTCTTTTGAAAGAATCCAAAAGATAGCCACATGAGCATGTCTGTATGTCATTTGCAAAGTTTTTGTACAGAGCAGCTCTGTCCCTTAAAGTTCAAGCGTTACAGTATGAAGGGAAACTCAAATGTTCATTGCTATTATTAGGACGCTTCCAGATATGCCTAGATTTTGAAACTACAGGGGAGAAAAAAAGGTTTTGGAAAACAAAGTCTTAAAATGAAATTGGGATTTGTCATGGGAACCTGAGTTTTGAGAAGGTGGGGAAGTGTTTTGAGGGCGAATCAAGTACAGAGTCCTACTATAATTACATTTGTTCTGAAAGACACATTCTTTACTTTTTGCTCTGGCATGTTCCATGGCCCCTAAAAATTACTGGCAATGAGATCCCTTAAGAAAAAGACTACATTAGTTATGTTCAATGGAAATGGTGCACCATCTCCCCAAAAAGCTAAGCTATATTGAAAAGAATGGGGGAAGGCAAGAAAGAACCCTGTGGACATGGATTGGAATTGAATCATCATCATGGGGGACATGATTCCTTGGGAGACAGAGAGAAGCTATGTGCACCTGCACATACCCCTGCATTTCCTCACTGTCAGCAGAAGGGCCCAGAAGCAGAGGCTCCACAGGAGCAATGAGCGTATTTAGCACCCAAACATTGTTACTAATCTTTTAAGTAACAAGAACCTGGATTCCTGGAAGAAATGGAGACTTTCAGGGCAAGAGTAGAAAAGGAGTTAAGATTAGCATACAACATCTAACTACTGAACAGAATGGGAAGTATGTCATAAGGACATGTCAGCATAAAGATACTCCCCACTGGCTAATTTTGGACAATTTGAGCACAAAATAACTTAGTAATGAATTTGAAAACTATTTTCAAAAATAGGAATCCATGATTAACAACGATCATGAAGTAGGAAAGAATGGAAGGCTTGTGCTTAAAGAATAATGCCAAGTGCTGACTTGGAAAGGGAATGCTAGAATTGGGTGAGGGGGAAAAAAAAATCACCGTTTTGCAACCACTAGAGTAAAGTTTGGCTCAGGCAAGAATCATCAACATAGGCTACACTTAGAGAAAGTTGAAGAGTAGGTAGGATACATGCAGTCTTCAATTTTCTCCCCATGGATTAATGGCATGAGAAAAAAATACATTAGAGAAATCGTGTAACATCTGACTGGGTAATCAAAATTAATACCACAAAACCCTGAAACTGCTTAGGGGACGATGGACAACATGCTCTCAGACACCACCACCCTAAGAAGGATGCATCATTTATATAGTAGTCTGTTGGAAATGCATGCCTAGGACCAAATCATGAGGAAATAGGCCAATCAAAAATGAAAACCATTTTATTTGTAAAAAGAGATTATGGTCTTCAAAAAGGCAAATGTCATTAAAAAAAAGAGGCTGAGAAGGGTTCCTTCCAACTTAAAGGGTACTTAAGCGCTATGAAAAACTTAAATGCAATCCTGGACTGGAGAACATTATTGAGACAAATAATAAATGAGAACAAAGACTGCAGATCATATTATATTGTATCAAAATTACCAAAGTCGATGACAACTGTATCAAGGTAAGAGAAATGCACAACCAAGTTCTTAGGAATAAAAGGACCACGATATAGAAAACTTAAGTTAAAAAAACTCCAAATGTGTTTATAAAAACACACTGGAGGACATGTGCCAAGTGACAAAGCAGAAAGGACAAACAGGTAGGTGACCACAAGTAAAGGATATATGAGTGTTCTTTGCTATTTGTGCAACATCTCCCTGTAAGCTTGAAATTATTTCCAAATATAAAGCAAAAAGTATAGAGTGGCCCCACTCAACCTTCTTTTGCAGACTCAGACAGCTGTTCAAATTTCTGGCAGCATTCCTGCTGGTGTGCCTCAGCCAACTTGACATCTTTGCTTTTTAAGCGGGCCTTATCCAAAGCTTTGTTTGAGTTCTCATAGTCAATGAGGGCTTTGGTGCGTCTGTATAAGAGATCCTGAGAAGAAAATTAACAGGTATGACATGGTAATTCAGCCTACCCTGAAAAATCTCTAGACAACAAAACAGGAAGACTAGGCATCTAAATATTCTGAAACATTCTTATAACCCTATCCTGCAAACCTGGCCTCTAGGGATCTGCCCTGAAGAGTTAATCTGAAATATTCTCTGCAATCTTACAGCAAAGTAGAAGTTACCTCAGTATCTAAAATGGGAAATTATGATGCATGTATGACAGACACATGAGGTTCGATTTTGTCTGCTTTTGTGTATACTCAAAAAACTTCAGCGTTTAACATTAGCACTTAAATCCACTATAAAGATAAATCTAACATGTGTTAAAAAAAAAAAAGAAAAATCAAGTAAAAGGCTAAGGAAATATGCCAAAAGACAAAATTAACTAAAATACAACTCAACTATGGGGAAAATAATGAATTTCTACTTCCTGATGACATTTTCCGGTTACATATTTTCCCTAATTTTATGTTGCCTGCTTCAGTATATTTCATATAAAAATAATTTAAACATTTTGTTCAGGGCATTATAGTGAAGAATGCATGTTTCTTTCCAAAAGGTCTTTCTACTTGCCCTTTAGTCTCACTTTTGATAAGTAATGCTTTTATAACTCAAAGGTTTCAGTGACATCTGCAATTCAATAAAACTCATAAATCCCAAAACCCTTTCTACCTCAGAAATAGACCTTTTGACATGTCTTCAGTTATGTCCCACATCCAATAACCCCCAAACTATTATCTGTCTACTCAGCATCAGCCCTACTGCTTCTGAGCAATACAAACTAAGGATACAATGCCACAAAAACGCATGTTGCTGTGAAAAGATTTCAATTATAATGCAACTGGAGGACATGAAATGAAGAACCTAATTATGTGTACCCCCTGTGAAGAACAGAACTTAGGAACTGAGAGGCTGATTTACAGAAGACCCAGAAAAATCTCCCGACCAATGAACTTACTGCTTGAATTCTGGATGGCTTTCAACTCTTCGTATTCCCTTGCCCATAAATATAGCCCACCCCAAATCCTCAAAGGACTCACCTGTAACTTGCCACAGATGCTTTTTCAAATTGCAGTTCTGCTATTCCTCAATAAGCTCTATTTCTGGTAACTCAAGCTTGCCTCAGTTTACACCTCTATTTAGGTCGACAGCATTTAAACTATCCTGACAAATTCCTATCTTCCTTCATTTTTATCAAGAATACATCTCTAACGTCAGAACTCTTCTGGGTCATGGCCAGGTGGTCTTGCACTCCTCTGAGGACTTAAAGAACGTCTTACCTTAGCAGCCTCTATATTGAGCATGTAGTATCGGAGAAGCTCTGTCAGCTTTAAATCTTCGTCTGAGGAGACTCGACTCTCTACTTTCTATGTAAAAAATATAATAAAGATACCATCATCTAAGCTGAAAAGTAAAGATTATAAAGTATTTAATGAAAACAAACATAAAAATCCTTACCCTAAGTTTTTCAAATAGCTCAGCAACCTTCAATAGGTACCTGAAAATATATACATGATTTTGGTTTAAGGTCTTGAATCATGTATGTATGATGTATGATCTTATAAATACTCTAAGATATGAAAGTTGTGTTAACCAAGGTCAGGTTCTAATGAACCGCCACCATAGGTGTCCCGAAACCATAAATACATACCATTTCATCTTAGTTTTTCCATTAGCCTGACTTCATTTTCAAATAAAAAATACTATGTTATACCAAGCGTAGGTGTTAAGTAGAATACCATCTCACCCTAAAAATGGCCAGGGTAGAAAAACTGTGAAAAATTCATATTAAAAAAAAAAAAAAAAAAAAGCTCAAGATCAGACTGGAGTCATTATATTATCCTTAATGGCTCCCTTAATCAGATCTCTTCAAGTCAGTCTAGGATATTCAGGTAAATGAGAAGCACCACGCTGCCAGAGAACAAACAAGGCAAACTTCACTCAAGACAACTCCAAAATTAAAATAATCAACAAGAAATAGAGACATGTAATAAAGGCTTAACAGAAATAAAAAGGCGTTGACGACAGCCACCATGTTGGACACAGAAGTGCCCTCTGAGTGCCCTACAAAGTGTCTGTTCCAGGATGTGTAAGACTTGAGTTCCTGGAGACTATCGACCACACTTGATGAGCTTGTACTCAAGAGCACAACTGAAACTATGTAGTCATTGTTCACCATAACTTTAATTAAACCACCTAGTTTTTGATTAGGGGAAATGCTTTTCCAACAAAAACTTACTTTTTGATGACTGTGGGCTCTTCTAAAGCCAGGCTATGCAGGCAGGCTGCAGTGTGGATATAGTCATCTGAAACATCTGTAGAAACAAGAACAGCCCTTTTTATATGAATAGAGCTGGCACATTAGCAAACCTAAGTGGCTAGTGGGTAAGTGGTATTTACTTTTATGCGATCTGGTCATTTTGTCAGCTTTTGCACATGAATCCTTGATTCTATTATAATAGTTAATGAGGAAATTCTTCTCTTGCTCAAAGAAGTCATCTACCTCCTAAAAAGGGAGGAAAAAAAGAAATTTAAGAAGCAAAACTTTTAAGAATATGAATGTGTAATTTATTTTGTATTAGAAGAAACATTAAGGAAATAAGCTCATGCATAAGTCTGTAGATCAGGGAAATACAAATTGACAAGATACCATTTCATACACAAGACTAGTAAAGTCAAGTACTGGCAGGAAATGTCAACAGAAAACCATTCTGAAGAGCTATTTAACAATGCCCAGTAAAGCTCTGGTATGCTAATGTCTAGCAATTCTACTGGAGTAGTGGTTCTGCCTGGTGGGTTGCTACCTAGCCTTGGGTGTAGGTGGGTGGTGTGATGAATTTGGTCAGTTCCAGACTAAGAGGCAATACCAGTACATGGTGGGCATCAGCCAGTGACACCAAACAGGACAGTCCCACACACCTTAAAAACAGTGCCAATGAGATAGTTTCAAGAGTTTCCAAAATTCTGGAAATGCCCCCTCTACTCAGAGTCCTTATTGAAGCCCTCAAGTGACAAAGTCAGATATCAAATAGTAGCTACTGAGGTAGCTCCCTTAAAAAGGAGTTGGGGGCTGAAGAGTGAAGAAATAAATCACACCTATGAGGGTAAGGAGACATATATTAATTGGATTTTCTAGAACAGCACTGTGTAGTAAAAACGTGTGAGCCATATGTGCCATTGAAAATTTTTCTAGTTGCCACAGTTTTTTAAAAAAATGGGTAAATTACTTTTAATATTTTACTTAACTCAGTTTATCTAAAACAAAAACATCAGTGATATACTGTACATGATTTTCTTCGTATCAAGTCCTTGAAATCCAGCATGTAAATAAAAATTTGGTTCCTTAATTGCACGTTAAGTGCTCAACTGCTACATGTGTCTGGGGCTACCAAAATGGACAGTGTAGTTCTGGAGAATGGCATGAAATAATGATCTTGTAGCTTATTATTATTTTTTTTAATAATAATCTAAGCTCTCTCCTTACAGAAATAAAGAAAATGAAGACTGAAGTGTGGGCAGGTTTATTCCCTCAGGAAGAGCACAGGGTATTTGAGGAAATACAAGTGAACATTCAATGAGTAGATAAAAATGCCGAAAACTTAAAGAAATCACTGTATTTCTGAGAAGTTAATACCATTTGTTTCACAAATATCCTTTCTAAAGAAATAAAAGTTCACATCCATATAAGTCAAGAATTTTCTATAACATCTAAAAGGCACTTACTTTAACTCCAGAAAAAAGGACTTCATCAGCACTCTTCACCACACTTTTGAAAAAGCCACCAAACATCTCTTTGGTATTTTTCCGCCTAACACTTAGCTGAAGAAAGAGAATTCCAAAAGAATAGTTTATGGTACATATATTTTTCTAGGTTCTTTTAAAGAAGTCCTGAATACATTCCAAGTAAGTGTTCACTTGTATAGGCACACACCTTAAATTCCATCCCAACCACCAGATAAAATATCCAATAAATGACTAAACCTAAACACAGGTTAGAATTCTAAAAGTGTGACTGAAGAGATATTTTGAAAAACTATCTAGGCACTGAATCTTAGTGGCTTTTAAATTCTTGGTAAAATTATTGTTCTGGTCAATGTTTATTAAATTTCACTAGTTAGAAGACACTGAGGAAATTTCTAAGTCAGGGCCTGCCTCGTACATATTAACAGAAAACTAACAAGTTAAGAAAAAAAAAAAAAAAGAGGCATGCAAGTATTCTTTCAACAAAAAGGTAGCCAGAGAGAAAACAAATGTAGATCAATTTAAATTCCTTCTAATAATTCCAAACTTAACTGAGGGAGAAAACTAGTCTTTAGAATGGGAAAAGGTCAAAATCTTTAAGCAGCCTTTTATAAAAACATCTTACATAATGGATCTGTGGGGAAGGGGAAGTGGCATCTAAAAAAGGTGTCTGGTGTGTTGGTAAAAAATATGCAGAATTTTAAGTCAATTTTCCAGAAAATACATCAAGTATATTTTTTAAAGTAGTCTTTTACATTTTAACTGGACAATGGAAATGGAATAAAAAAAATGTCTTACATCCTGATCATATTCCAGGAAAACATGAAAGTTGCGATCTTTATTAAGAACAGGGTGAGAAGACAGCCGCTGAAGAAAGACTTCATGGGAGGATACAGTCTTCTTAAAGACAGCAAGATATTCACTGAAAAGGAGCACACAAGGATTCAGTTGGCATCACTCAACTAACGACCACTGATGCTCCTGGTTATCATCACTGTTCTGCTAATGCCATGAAGCAAAATATCTGAACTGGACCAAAACATTTTGATATAACTTTTTATCTAGTTAGGTAGTAAGATAGTTGTCATTTTGGAACCTGTGGAATGAGCAAATGAAAGGAAAAAGTGATATTCTAACTGGGGTTCACGGAGTTAAGCCTGAAAAAGCCCCAAACCTACAAGTAAATACTGCTGGTACTTAGCAGTCACAGAACATTGGTTTCATTCTTTCTTTCTTTTTAAAAGTATTTTATTGGGAAATTGGGGGAGGGGAGCAGCCAAGTTGTTGTCCTTCAATCTTTGTTGTGGAGGGCGCAGCTAGCTCAGTTCCAAGTCCAGTCGTCATCTGGCCACCTGTTGGTAGCTCGCAGCTGCTCAGCTCAACGCGCCATGTTCAACTTTA